AGAAGACACATTCCATTGTTATGTTTGGGAATAACTTGTCAAAAATAGGCGATATGCTTTTGCCCACTATCCTCCTAATAAGTAGATTCATTTTTCATCTCACCAGCCAAAACTATCTTAACAGCTTAGCCTCAAAGTATGCAAATTAGATAAATGAGAAAAATGTATCCAAACACAATTGTGTTTCTTGGTTTTGTTTTGCTGTGCTTCCTGGTGCTAAGGACTGAACCTAGGATTTGGTACAAGCTAGGCCAACACTCTACCACTATGCTATATCTCTAGTCCCACACATGGCATGTAAAAGCTTGGTTAACTCCAGGATTATGGGACAAGACCCTGTTAAGTTAAAAAAAAAAAAAAAGCCTTTCTTTGTCCTGTAATTCTTAAGAGAAATTTGTAGAAAATGACAATTAAGCTGTATGTAACCCTGCTTGATTTTAGACTGCAACCACTGATGGGGATGTCTTCTGTACACACATTTCTCTTATTGGTTAATGAATAAAGCACTGTGTGGCTAGTGGCCGGCACGAAGGGTAGGTGGGGCTACCAGACAAAGAGAATTCTAGGAGGTGTAGGCAGAGAGGAGTCAAAATGTGAGCCAGGGAAGAGAGGACTCGAGTCAGGCATTTTCCGGTAAGATAAGACCATGTAGAAATGCATAGATTAGTAGTTATGGGTTAATAATTAAGACACAGCTAGCCAAAAAGAAGCCCTAGTCATTGGCCAACAGTATTATAATTAATACAGTGTCTGTGTGTTCATTTAGGGTGACGTGGCTGTGGGACCAGGTTGAAGGGAAGAACAATCGTAACAACCAAGACCAAGATCATAAAAGAAATATATGTTCCCAACCCATCTGTGAACTCCTGTCTATTAAAAATCCTCATTCTCCAGTCTCCTGTCTTTAACAGCTTGTATCCACCTCTGCCAGACACTGTATTATATATGGCTCACCTCTCCTGCTCTTCAATAGCTCTTCTCTGCTATCCTTTAAAATCCATTACATTTCTTTGCAGAGAGTAGGTGATTCAATAAATGTTTGGATAGAGGCTCTGGCCCCCTCCGCTCTATCCTCCAGCAACCCTAAACTAAGTCTTTAAAGACACGGTCCTAAGACTTGAGCTTTGCTAACTCATCTTGCTCCCTCTGGAGACCTGCTCCTGCCACTCTTGACAAAGCCAAAGTCTGGCCCCTCTGACAGCCAATTTTACCTTCAACTTGTGACTTCAAATTGATGGCTAAGCTCTTCTCCGCTTAACTGCTGACAGTCTGTGGTGGTTTGAATGTGAAATCTCTCCCACAAGCTCATGGGTTTGAAAGAACACTGAGGCTGTTTGGGCAGGCTCTAAAATCTTCAGATGAGAGGCCTCACTGGAGGAAGTGACTCACTAGGGGGAGAGCTTGAGGTTTTACATCCTGGTCCCAATTCCCTCTGTAGGCTTTCTGTTTTCTGACTGTAGAGGTCTGTGACCAGACACTTCACTCTCCTCCCTCTGATCTTTTCTGTCAATATGACTGTATCTCCTTAAACAATGAGCCAAAATAACCCTTTTGTCCCTTAAGTTGCTTCTTCACCAGTATTTGGTTACTGCAACAAGAAAATATAACTAATATGCAGCCTGTTCCCATAAAATGTGGCTATAGTATTTCTATAACCCCCCCGCCCCGGACGCTGTTTCATATTGTCTTCTCTGATAGGCCACTTTGTTTTCCCACCTGTTCTGAATAACCACCCAGCTTATAATCAGTCAGTATCTCAATTATTTTGCCTGTTCTAATTCCAGGATGCAGTTGTTTGAATGAGAATGATCCCCATAGTCTCATATATTTGAATACTTGGTCCCCAGCTGGTGGAAGTATTTGGGAAGGATTTGGAGGTATGGCCTTGTTGGAGGAGGTGTGCCACTGGTGACAGGCTTTGGAGTTTCAAAAACACTGTTTCGAAGACGCTGTTCCAAGTTATCTCTCCCTGCCTCTTGCCTGTGGATCAAGATGTAAACTCCCAGCTCCAGCTTCAGCTCCACTGCTACTGGCCTGCCTGCTGTCACGCTCCCCGCTGTGATGGCCAAAGACTCTAATCCTCTGGAACTTTGAGCCCTGAAATCAAATGCTTTCTTTTATAAGTTGTTTTGGTAATGGTGTTTTATCATGACAGTATAAAATTAACTAAAGCACAGAACAAGCCATACAGAAAATGCAGGAAGCTACCCAAGAATTAAGAGTCTCCATCTCATGACTTGATGGTTTGGATTGTACACAGTGTGTTCTCTTCAGAGTGTGTAAGAGACTGAACTCGAACGCTGAGCAGTCAAGCTACTGTAGTATGTGTTCCTTTTAACCTTGGGGTGATTATAATCCCCAAAGGCCATCTTACCCACTCCAGAACTTCCTCTTGGGTAAAGACCCTCACCTGCCACAGCTATTTTAACTACCATGGTCAAATAAAGATGACACCTGAAAAGCAATGCCCTGTCCTGTTTCCAGAGACAAGCTTTAACGCTATTTTCAGCTGTTCTTTAATGATTTTGGAACTCACTCCTTATATGGCCCAGGTACCTTGACTGAGAAAAGTTTTCCCTGTGGAATACTTTTTTCACCGTATCCTTCTCCTTTAAATGATTGTGAACCTAAGACAGTTTCTCTTTGTATGGCCATCAGCCTGGTAATTCATGAGATCATACTTTGTCATCGCTTTATCTTTGCTATATGCAGCACACTTCCAACCCAGCTCTCACACAGTGAAGGCTCTGGAGCTCAGCAGGCAATTAAGAATCCATCTTCAAATTTGGGAGTCAACTCTCCCCCTCTCTCTACTGAGCTCATATATTGGTAAAGAGTTACTGGAATCCATCTGAGTCCCCTTGAAGAACTGCCAGAGAGTGACAAGAGTGTTCCTCCCTTTTTAAAATTAGTTTTTATTTAAATTAAAACAATCTTATTTTACATATCAATCCCAGTTTCCTGTCTTCCCATGCCCCTCACCCGACCCCCATCCACTCCCCAGAGAATGTGAGGCCTCCCATGGGGGATCTTTAAAGTCTGTCACATTGTTTAGAGCAGGGCCTAGGCCCTCCCCATGTATCTAGGCAGAGAGAGTATCCCCTCCATAAGGAATGGGCTCCCAAAGTCCATTTATGTACTAGGGATAAATACAGGTTCCACTGTCAGAGGCCCCATAGACTGCTCAAGCCCCCAACTGACACCCATGTTCAGGGGGATGGTTTGGTACTATGCTGGTTCCTCATCTGTCAGAATGGACTGGGGTCAGTGAGTTCCCACTTGCTCAGGTCAGGTGTTTCTGTAGGTTTCCCCAGCATGGTCTTGACCTCTTTGCTCATCCCCCCTCCCTCTTGGCAACTGGATTCCAGGAGTTCAGCTCAGTGTTTAGCTGTGGGCATCTGCTTCTGCTTCCACCAGCTACTGGATGAAGGCTCTATGATGGTATTTAAGGTAGTCATCAATCTTATTCTAGAGGAAGGGCATTTATGTATCCTTCCCACTATCGCTTAGATACTTAGTTGGGGTCATCCTTGTGAATCCCTGAACATTTCCTTAGTCCTGGGTTTCTCATTAAATCTATAATGGCTCCCTCTATTAAGGTATCTCTTTTCTCGATCTCCTTCTCTGTTCTTCCCCCAACTCAGCCTTCCTGATCCCTCATGCTCTCCTCCCCCCTCCTCTTCTTGCCTCCTCTTTCTCCTACCTCTCTCCCTCTGTGCTCCCAATTTGCTCAGGAGATCTTGTCTCTTTCTACTTCTCATGAGTCCATGTGTGTCTCTTTTAGGGTCCTCCTTGCTTCCTAGCTTCTCTGGGATTGTGGATTGTAGGCTGGTAATCCTTTGCTCTATGTCTAATATCCACTTATGAGTGAGTACATACCATGTTTGTCCATGTATCTGGGTTACCTCACTCAGGATGGTTTCTCCCAGTTCCATCCATACAGACGGATGATCTCCAAAATATACAAAGAACTCAAGAAGCTAGTCACCAAAACACCAAATAATCCAATAAAAAAAATGGGGTACAGAACTAAATAGAGAATTCTCAATAGAGGAATCTAAAATGGCTGAAAGACACATAAGAAAGTGCTCAGCATCCTTAGCCATCAGGGAAATGCAAATCAAAACAACTTTGAGATGCCATCTTTCACCTGTTAGAATGGCTAAAATCAAAGCCGCCAACGGCAGTTTATGCTGGAAAGGATGTGCAGAAAGAACACTCCTCCATTGCTGGTGGGAATGCAAACTTGTATAGCCACTTTGGAAATCATTATGGAGGTTCCTCGGGAAAATGGGAATCAGTCTGCCTCAAGACCCAGCAATTCCAGTCTTGGGCATATGCAAAAGATGCACATTCATACAACATGTTCAACTATGTTCATAGCAGTGTTGTTTGTAATATCCAGAACGTAAAAGCAACCTAGATGCCCCTCAACTAAAGAATGGATGGAGAAAATGTGGTACATTTACACGGTGGAGTATTACTCAGCGAAAAAAAAAACAAAAACAAAAAACAAAAAACAAAAAAAAACAAAAACAAGAGTTTTATTAAAGAAAAAAATTTAACACAGCCTTGATACTGGCCTACCCACTGCAATGGAACAAAGCCACCACCAGAGGGCGCGAAAGGACCTGAGGTCAGGTACGGTTCCAGGGGCTCATTTCAAAGATCTGGCAGGCCAGAACCTTGTTAAAAGGCGATTCTATGTTCCGGACACTGACCTTCAAGGTCAAGGATCCATGCTGTGTTTTTGTGGATTTGGGCAGTAATCCCGGTTGCGATTATGCATCACTGCGAAATCTTGCCTTTCACATCTCCACACGCCCATTTTGGCGAGTGGACTGCAGTACAGCCACTGTCTGCCCTTGGCTGCCATAGGCCTGGGCAAGGGGTGGAAGAGGGCGTGGCCTACTGCAGTCTGCTGTCCGCCCGGTTCCCGCCCCCTCTGCAGATAGACTTTGTCCCTGCAGACCCCAGGCCCGTCACCAGAGGCAGCCTGCAGCCCGGTAGGCTGGGTGGCATTCTGCAGCATTACGCTGAGACAGCTGACTGTGCTACCCCGGTGAGCTGGGAGGTCCTTCTAAGTGATTGGTTTTCCTAGTCCTGCGCCAAGCGACCGGCGGAGACATGAATTACTCACGGTTCCTCACTGCAACCAGCATTGCCAGAAAGCCTTCCCCCATCAGAGCCACAGGTGAAAAACAAAGTCTGCGCCTCCCCTGGTTTGCAAGAGGGATGTTTTCTTCTCAGAAGCTCTGCGCGGTGCACTGTTGTGCGGGTCACCGCTGCTTGCAAGTGTGAAGACAATCTGTGGGCATTAGTTGAAAAAGGAATAGATAAGTTTTGTTTGCTAGGAACCTGAGCTGAGGCAAGGCATGGCAATGAGTACTTTCGCTGGGGGTCGGAGGAGGGCAAATGCCTTCAAGCCGGCTGTAGAGAAAGGCTCTGCAGGGAAGATGGGAATGCAGGGGTATGGCGTGAAGGGCCTGGGAACTGGAAGCCAGAAGTGGAGCTAGGGCACACAGGTAGGTCTTGGAATGAGTGGACAAAGGCCCTCTGCTACTGTGGCCCTTTGCTTGATTCCAGAACCCTCTCCGGTTTTCTTGGCCATCCAGATTCTTCCATCCCTCCACAAGTGAGGAAGCCTAGAAAAAGTCAGTTCGTATTTATTTTAGACTAGCGTTCTATCGTAGTGCAGTAGGCCACTATGCCAGACTAGCATGAGCAGGTAATTTAATAAATAGCAAGAATGTTCTTCTGTCGGCTCTGGAGGCTGGGAAGTCCCACATCAGACACCCAATGAAGGTAATTCCAGATGATGCTTCTCACTGCAGCTCGGCTACTTTCATAAGAACACCAGTTCCATTTCTGAGGGCAGAGTTATCATGATCTAATGCCATCTTTGTGGTTTTTGAGTACTAGATTCTAATTTAGCAATTGGTCAGAGACATCCACATACAAGCCACAGCACATTGTATCACTAGAAGTTGTAAAACATGATAGTTGATGGTAATGCATAATGAATTGTCTGTTTAAAGTAAGCTTCAGGAGACATATTCTTTCTTCTTTTTCACGTTTATCATAGCTGACATAATGTCCAAAGCACCAAAATCCCTCATATCTCTGGCTCCTGGAAGTCCAAACCCAACCATGTTCCCCTTTAAGACGGCTACTTTCACTGTGGAAAATGGAAACACCATCCAATTTAAAGAAGATATGATCAAAAGAGCCCTTCAGTATTCTCCAAGCTACGGGTAAGCTATCAATAGATGATAGATTTCTATTGGCTCATTGTCATACCCCTTTGGCAAAGTGACTTAGTCCTTTTGTTAACGAGAAGTACAAAGCCTGGGAAAATTTGGAGAAGAAATTTTCAAATACTAAAGGCAAAATCAGCACTAAATGTAAATGACTAGGAAAGCCAGAGGAAAAAAATCTAGAAGAAGGTACCATTTGAGCTGAGTGGGACACTAAAAAGAATGCTAGGTGAAGCAGTATACTGGAAAAAAGAGAGAGAATGGATAAAACAGTGAACAACATTGATGTTACTTTTTTAAGAATTAAATGGGGATTTTATTTTTTATTGACAACAGATTTTTTTTCTCATACAATATATCCTGATTATGGTTTCCCCTCATCCACTCTTGCCAGTTCTTCCCCACATCCCCTCCCTTGCTAATCCACTCCCTCATCCACTAGATTCTAAGTGATAAAAAATATGACAAAATAAAATATAAGTCAAAAACTTTCATGTTTGGACACAGCAACCCAACAGGAAGAATCCCAAGAGCAGGCACAAGAGTCAGAGATCCACTTATTCTCATAATTAGGGATCCCATAAGATGCTAAATAGCTAGAGTATGTGTACAGAGGACCTGGTGCAGACCCATATGGGTCCTGTGCTTGCTGCTTCAGTCTGTGAGTTCAGATGAACCTTGCTTAGTTGATTCAGAGTACCTTGTTCTCCTGGTGTCCTCAACTCTTACCATCTTTCCACTCCTTTCCCATGGCATTCACTGGGCTCTGCAAGGAGGGAATTGATGGAGATCTCTAATTTAGACTCTCTCTCTCTACATAATGTCTGTCTGTGGGTCCCTGCATCTGTTCCCATCTACTACAAGAGGAAGCCTCTCTGATGATGACTGGACAAGGCACTGATCTATGAGTATAGCAGAGTATCATTTGGAATCATTTCAATGGTGTTTGTTTGTTTGTTTGTTTTTTGGGTTTTGTTTGGTTTTACCCTAGGACTTTGGGCTATCTAGTCTCTGGGTCTTGATTACCTAAGCAGTGTCAATTATATGTTCCTTCTCATGGAGTGAGTCATAAGTCAAATCAGACATGGGCTGGATACTCCCAAAAATTGTGCTGCCATTGGCCTGGCATATCTTACAGGCTGCACAGATGGTAGATCAAAGGCTTTGTGCCTGAGCTGATGTTCACATTTCTCTTCCACTAGTCTACAGAGTACCTTCCCATGCCAAAGAGACTGGAGCATAGGCATGAAGGCTCCTTGTAGGCACCAACTCCACTTTTCCATGTCCACTGAATTGTGTGGGTATTGTCCCCTGCTGTCAGTTTGCAGAGAGCAACCCTTTGTTTTAGCAATAGCCTTCGTTGTTCCAGGATTTCCATAGGACCCCTGTGACCAACAACCCAAATGAATGCAACCAAGTCCTGCCACTGCAAGTCTCACTTGGCAACAAGAAATGGCCTGTTGAGACTTCATATCCCCCATTACAAGGAATCCTTGTTAGTATCACCTTCATAGATTTCAGGAAGCTTCCACTGCACTAGGATTCCACACTACCCCCCAAATGCCCCACGATTCCAGTCATCTCTTCCAAACTCTCTTCCTCCATCCCATCCCCCTACCTGATCCCACCCACCCCTAATCCACCCACAAAATCTACTTAATTTCCCCTTCCCAAGGAGATCCATATATCCCTCCAGACCATTCTTCTTTACCTAACCACTTTGGGTCTATGGGTTGCAGCTTGGTTATCATTTACTTAACTGCTAGTATCTATGTAGTGAATACATACCTATATGCCACATTTTTCTTTCTGTGTCTGGGTTACCTCACTCAAAATGTTTTTTTTCTAGCTTCATCCATTTGCATGTGAATTTTGTGATGGCACTTTTTAGCAGCTGAATAACACTCCATTATGTTAATGTATCACATTTTCTTTATCCATTTTTCTGTTGAGGGACATCTAGGCTGTTTCCAGTTTCTGGCTACTATGAATAAAGCATCAGTGAACAGGGTTGAGCAAGTGACCTTCTCAACTAGGTTGGAGCATCCTTTAGGGTATATGTCCAGGAGTGGTATAGCCAGGTCTTGAAGTAGATGGATTCCCAACTTTCTGAAGAACCTCCATATTGATTTTCCATAGTGGCTGTACAAGTTGGCACTCCCATCAGAAATGGAGGAGTGTTCCCCTTGCTCCACATCCTCTCCAGCATGAGCTGTCACTTGTGTTATTGGTCTTAGCCATTCTGACAGGTGTAAAATGGAATCTCAAGGTAGTTTTGATTTGCATTTCCCTGATGGCTAAAGATGTTAACATTTCTTTAAACATTTCTCATCTATTTTAGATTCCTCTATTGAGAATCTCTATTTAGATCTGTAACTCATTTTTAATTGTATTATTTAGTGTTTTGATATCTAGCTTATTATTTATATGTTTTGGATATCGGTTCTCTATTGGATGTGTGGAATTGGTAAAATCTTTTCCCATTCTTTAGGCTGCCACTCGTTTGTTTGTGGGTTCTAGGATTTCTGTAAAGGATATATTCATTTCCTCCTTAAGGAACTTTATCATCTTCATATAGTTGGTTGTAAGGTCCTTTTTTTTTTTTTTTTTTTTTTTTTTTTTTCTCTTTTTTGTGTTTTTTTCAGGGAGTGTTGTGGTAGGATAGCTGGACTCTAGTGGAGATATACTGTCCTGCCTGTTATTGTTTGTATTTTTATGCTGGTGTATTGGCATCTGGGTTTGAGATGCTTATAGGTCTAGGTGCCAATTTCTAAGTTTGTCTTTGTTGGGTGGGTGTTGTGTTCCTTGGTTTCTGTTTCCTCTCTGGATTTTCAGAGTGTGATGGCTGTGTATTGTCTGTTGTACTGGCCTGCTCAGCTGGTATGTTCACAGGGAGTGACTGCTGGTGATGAAGGCTGGGATGTGGTGATGAGTGGAGGAAGGGCAGTCAGGGAGGAATGCTCTGTGGGGTCTACAGAAGATGTGGGCAGAGGGGAAGGGAGGCTGCAGCTGATGATCTGTTTCAGGACTAAGAAAGAGACTGAGAGATTGAGTCTTGGGGAGATAAGAGATCAGAGAAGATCTGCAGGTAGCCTACCTGGTTTTCTGCCAGGTGCCATGATGTTTCCTATTAAGCAGGCACAAATGCATTGCTTCCATAGGTTCAAATGTCTAACTGCTGACAGGCAAACTGAACCATATATCTTAAGACTTCTTTTACCTGGTCTTCTCCCACTGATAAAGGTTAATTTATTAATTCTTTATACAATTGTTTACTAAATGTATTTGTGTTCAGGTATAGTGGAATATTCATCACCTCAAGGCCAGCCTGAGCTATATACACAGTCATACATACAAACAAAATTCCTCTGTGTTTGAAGAGTTTGTTGAAATCATGCTATTAGTGTGCACATGAATTGGGTAAACGTCTAGATAGCTTGTAGTAATCTTCCTAGTATAGCAAAGACTCTACTATGTAATGAAAGTCCTGGAGGAAACAAGCCTTCAGGCTTCCACATAAGTAGGATGTGGATTCAGGCGTGGCACATGGATTAAGTGACCAGCTTTATGTGAATTTCTGGCTGATTGAATTTATGTGAATCTCTTAATGTCTCACTCTATTGCCTCATTTTTTAAGTGAGAATACTGAAACTGCTGAAAGGCATTTGAGGGATTGTTAAATTGAATGTATAATGAGTTTGATATTAACTCACTATTTCTTCTCTGCCTACTATTTCTATGATTATTATGACCATAAATTGTGAAATGCATTGTATGCCTTAGAATTCCAGAACTTCTATCATGGCTAAAACAGTTGCAAATAAAGTTGCACAACCCCCCCACTGTCCACTACCCACCCACTCAAGGACAAATGGATATCTGCATCACCTCTGGCTGCCAGGATGGTCTCTGTAAGGTAAGAAAGGAGGGAGAAGAAAGGTTTTGTGTATAATCAAGCACACTCCTCAATGCAGTCATCTCCCACACACTATAAGGGGGTCATGTTTTGTGGACTACTAGTAGACCCTTTTCACTTCACCTAGGATAATAAATGGGAAATTCAAAGTCAAAAGATAGCAAGAGGCAAGGGGGAAGATTGATGATACACAAGGGTCAGGTACAATGCTTTAGGTTAATCAATTGATATCAGAAATCAAAATAACCTGTTATATTTGTGCTTAGAAAAAGAATTAGCTACTGTATATATTTTTGCCAGCAGGGAAACCTTTGTGAGTCTACAGACTGAGATTTAGGAATTCTCTCAAAGAAGTGATTTTCATTGGGAAGCACACTGTGACCTTTCCTTGTGGAAAGGGACAGAAAATTGTTTCTTCATTATCTGTTACAATTCCAGTCATATCAAAAAAAGGAAGTTAGTATAGGGGCTTTATTACAGAGAGCGTGTTGAAATCTGGTTTAATATTTCTTCCATGTGTTCCATGGTAGCTGGTTTGTGCTTGGACTTGAACCCTTCTTTTTTAAATTCTTTTTTATTTTAGAAGCACTCTTATTTACATATCACTCTCCCTATTCCTTCACCCTCCCACAGTTGAGTCATGATAGACCCACACATTTGTACCGGAAAAACTTTTGCCTTCGACGAATGACATCAGGAGTCTTCACACAGCCCACACCACCAAACCTTGTCACCCTTAACTACTAAATACTGTTTAGCAGTACTGACCACTCCATCCTTGTTTGACACTCCAACTCCCCGTTGTCTCGTACATCAGACTTGTGAGTCCTCCTTTACCTCATCCTGATTTCCTGACATCACACCTCAGTTCTTGAGTATATCTTCACAATGCATCTGAGTTTGGGCACACCCGTGTGATGAAGCACATACCCAACACTTCTGTGCTCTTCCCAAATACATTTGTCCATTTGTCTACCTCACACTATAACAGAATGTTAAAGGCAGAAAAAAAAAAAACTCATCTCGATCACATACGGGCTACTTTTGAGCTCTGTGTTCAAGTGATTGGCACTAAAAATCTTCAACTCTAATCCTTCAGCCCCTTATAGACCATAAGCATGACCCATTGGTTTTCATTTCCTAAATACCTCTCAGGCCTTCCTACAGTGCCACCTCTCTAGCTCAGGCTACCAATGTTTAGCCCTGGGACCATAGCAGTAATTCCCAAACAGTCCTCCAAACTTCTCCCTCTTCTCTTACTATTTTATACTGTAGTCAGAAGTTACCTTCCTAAACTGCATGCCTGATAATGTGGCTACTCCTGTTCTCTCCCTTCCAAAGTCCTTAATCACCTCTATGGCCTGAATGATTTCGTGGTGTAGTCTCTTTTTGACTGCACCTCTCTCTCTCTCTCTCTCTCTCTCTCTCTCTCTCTCTCTTTCTCTCTCTCTCTCTCTGTCTCTCTCTCTGTCTCTCTCTCTGGAGCGCATGGGCACTCTCTCTCCCTCCCTCCCTCCTTCCCTCTCTGCCTTTCCCTCTCTCCCTCCCTGCCTTTTCACACTCCACCTCAAGTCCCAAAAGTCTCCCAGTTTACCAAAAGATACCAGTTGTCACTTATCCTTCATACACCAGGACATCACTTCCTCGATGAAGTCTTACCTACATTCTCTGAGTGCCAAAGTCCTGCAATGAGATGTCCGTGATGTTGGGCACCTGACCCTAACAGTACTCACCATGGATTTGGCCTCTCTATTGAGATAATTATCTAATTAGTGTCTAGCTACCTCATGACAGTAGGAACCTGGTCATTTTGCAAGGATTTTGTCTCTAGTACTCTTCCCTGGCCTGACTCATAGTCAACATCTAACAAGGTCAACATTTTCCAAAAATCAATAAAAGAAACAGATGAATTTTATGAGCCAAACCAGTTATGTTCTTCATTTTACCCTACAACGGAGGTCAATATACTGCTGGACAGCAGAATCCAGACCATCAGCTAAGCTGGTAAATAAAGTTTTATTGGCACCAGATACTCTTATTTACTTACACATTGCCTGTGGCTGCTCTGTTGCTATGGAGGCAGAGATGAGCAGCTGCAACAGAAACACTATGGCTCACACAATGGTTATTACCTAGCCCTTAAAAAAAACTTCCCACTTTCCCTTTAGATCCTGGGAGCACAAAAGAAACATGTTCTGAAGATGGGAGCTATTCTATCCAAGCTAACCTATGCTTCCTTTGTCAGGTGTTTGAAATGCTCATTAGTCCTGGAGACATTATCCTCATAAACGAACCTTTGTATACTGGAGTTCTTTATGCTGTAAGTACATGTTTTTACAAAACAGCAAGTCTCTTACAGCCCTTTAGAATGTCTGTCACCTCAAAAACCCTTTTAAGATGAGTTCTTTCTTTGCAAAAAAACTTAATAGTGTCCAAAATTTGTGTGATTTATTATCATCTGAACAGTCATTTGGTCCTCAACCTGTCTCTCACGGTAAAGTCTCTCTCATTACAATTTAATATGATGCTTGATTTTGTGTGACAGCTGAATTCTGAGTACATGATATGTTATTAATCATATTAACATCAAAACTCTAAGGTCAAAGCTGCTGTTTTCAAAACAAAAATCATGGTTTGTTTTTTTTAAAAAAGCGTTTTTGGAGGACTGGGGAGAAGTTTAAGGGATTAAAATGTTGGCTCATTGTGGTTTATGCAAGGAGAGGACAAGTGTTCAAATGCCCAAAGTCCAAGTAAATTCTGGTGGGAGTGAAGCCTATCTGTAATTCCAAACACAGAAGGTGGAGCCTGGGAATCCACAAGCAAGCTGGGTGTCTAGAGTAGCTTTGTGTATAGATTTGACGGAGAGAGCCTGACTTAATAAATAAGATGGAAGATCAGTAGAGGATGGTTCCCCAACATCAACCTAGGTCTATACATGCAACACACACACACACATGCACGCACGCACGCACGCACGCACGCACGCACGCACACACGCACGCACGCACGCACAGAGGAACATAGATAAAGCAAAAAAAAAAAAAGTGCACTCTTACTAAATTGCTTTTAGAGAATTTTTGGTTTCCAAAAAGTCCACTGAAGTTGTCTGGAAGCCTGTACATACATTTGGTGACTCACTCTTAACAGCAATGAACTACTACCACCATTTGGTCATACATTTAAGGAGTGGAAAGAGATTGTGTTCCAATTCTTCAGCGCTAGCAGAGATGCGCTTTTACGGGAAACATGGTTATATCTATATCATCATGATATGTTTTGAACATCCAGGATAGGAGCTGTGAGAAAGACAAAGGCGGGGTGAGGAGTAGGTAAATTTTTAGTTTAAAACTAAAGTTTAAGAAAATGAAATTATTTTGACTATATATATTCAATTTCATCTGAGTATTTTTTTGGATCATATTATCAAGTTTACTTAAGCTGTGGTTGACTTTCAGACAAAGGTGTTGGTGATTATGTGTGAGTGTGCTGTGAATCCATTTGCGCTTAATGGATTTGTGGAACTTAATGACTACAAATACTGAGCTGCAACCTTCCTATTTGTAGACTTACAATACACTTTGGTGTTTTAAAAGCTATATTATGTAAAGTGTGCTTACATTTCTAAACCTGATTGGATTTTCTGCTGTTTTTCTTTGAATTCACAGCAATATGAGGATATAAACAAATAAAAGACAATGCCTCTCCACTAAAAATTATAATTAGCATCTTCATCTGTACCCCAAAGCTTCCTAAAAGGTGTATGTGACACACTGAACGTACCCTATTTCTTCTTTACAAAGGAAAGGAGTATGTGCTAAGATTACACAATATGAAAGCCATGTCCAATTTCTTAATATTTCACATCAAATGTGACTTAATTCACAAAAACTTGCTTTTTCCTTGCCAATTGCCCAAGTACAGCCATGTTACATGTCAATTTACTGTAACTCTAAACAAATATGGCATAGTCAGGAGTTCCTACTCCAGTGATAAAGCAGTGAGCCTGCAACCTGCAGGAAGAGGGTTGTTATCTGCCTCACCACCAACCACTCAGTTGGTCAGGGCATCCCATTCTAGCATGGCTGTGTCCACAACTGGAAGAAACAGGACAGTGCAACTGGAATTAACAGAGAATTCACAACTGTCAGGTCATACAAGGAATGGCTCTAGGAACTGTGGCAGTTTTCCCATCAAAGAAGCATAGGAATTCGCCACATCCTGTAGAATAATTAGATCCACTTGTCCATGCTGTTAGGGTGGTAGAACTGATTAAAAATAGATTATTTTCTCATGCAATATGTCTTGATTATAGTTTTCCCCTCCTTCTCCTCTTCCCAGTTTCTTCCCATCCCTCCAGATCCGCCTTCTTTCTATCTCTCATTAGAAGAGAAAAAAATTCTAAGAGATGGCCAAACATGACCAAATAATACATAATAAGATGAAGCAAAAACTTTCATATTGAAGTTGGGCACAGCCACTCAACAGAAAAAGAGTCCCAAGAGCAGGCACAAGAGTCAGAGACCCACTAATCCCCAATCAGGAATCCCATGCAAATATTAAACTAATAGCTATAATATATACTCAGAGGAACTGGCATAGACCCATGTAGGTCCTGTGCTTGCTGCTTCGGTCTCTGTGAGTTCATATGCATCTTTCTTGGTTCATTAAGAGCGCCATGCCCTCCACCCCCTCTGGCTTTCCATCTCCTTTTGCACAGGGTTTCCTGAGATCTGAGGGGAGGGATTTGATGGAGACCTCCAATTCAGAACTTCCTGACTGTCAACCTTACCAATCTGCCTAGAGAGATATAATTAATGACTAGTGTTTGTTGTTAGGCTGATTGGCCTGAGAACTAACTCTCTCTCTCTCTCTCTCTCTCTCTCTCTCTCTCTCTCTCTCCCACACCCTCCCTCCCTCTCTCCCTCTTGCCCTCTACCCCCTCCCTCTCTCCCTATAGCTCTTACCCTCTCTCCCCTACCCCTACCTCCACCCCTTTCCCTCACCCTCTCTCTCTCTTTTCCCAACCACCATGATGTGAGTTGCTCTGCTCCTCTGTGTTCTCCCTGCCACAATGGAGTGAAATGTCTGAAACCGTGAGTCTATATAAACCTGTCCTTCTTAAATAGTTTTGTCTGTGTACCTTGTCACAGCACTGCAGAATGCCTACGGCCTTGCCCATAGTTGCCCATAGATACTGATGAACCATTTCCACCTCGTGTAAGATAGTTCAGTGAGAAGAGGCAAGTCTCAAGCACTGCCAGCTACCAAGCTTTGTTTATTTCTCTCACACTACACACCCAGCACAAGGCTACCTGCAGCTTGCATCCTGGCATCTTCCTTCCAAGCCCCAATCTCACAGAATCACCCTCTGTTCAGAACATTGCCAGTCTTGGGGCAAATGAAAAAAAGAAAAAAACCACATAGACAACCAATAGCTGGTATTTTAAAGTTTCTGCTTAGGAAAAATGAGCATGTCAGTTGCTGCTCACCTTCTGTGAACCGGAATAAGACACACATGACCAAGCATAATACCAATGAGGCTAAGAAGCACAAGCAGCTATTGCTGTCCTCAGAGGAATTATAGGATTACAATACACAGCTCAGCCCTCTGGAGCTTGGAGCTGAGTACATTTTACATATTTAAGGGCATAAATAGCTCAGTTGTTGACTCGTTTTTAAAAGAAAATGGAGCATTTCGTAACCATACTACATTCTCTCTCTCTCTCTCTCTCTTTTTTTTGTCATCCACAGATAAAACCATTGGGTAGCAACATTATTAATGTCCCCAGTGATGAGCATGGGATTATTCCAGAGGGTCTCAAAAAAATACTTTCCCAGTGGAAACCAGAAGATTCCAGGGATCCCACGAAAAAGACTCCAAAATTGCTTTATACTATCCCAAATGGTAACAATCCTACAGGCTACTCACTGACAGGTGACCGCAAGAAGGAAATCTATGAGGTATTTACAAGAAGGTGCCAAGATGTGTTTTGTATTCTTGTTTACCTTTTTGGGAGAGTCTTCGATTCAAGTTGCTTTTCCTACTATTCTCTTGTTTTCCGGGAAGATAACTTTTAATAAAAGAGACTCCGTCATCTATGCCAAAGTTCCTACTGAAGTAATACACAACAAATTGCCACATCTCTGTTTCTGAATTTATTTTCACTTAATTGGTATTTTAATACATGAAAAATGGCATTCTTGACAACCTGCTATGAAAAGACATCTGGTTCCCATTACTGGATGCTTGTGTTTGCCCTGTATTTTAGACTTGCTATTTGCTACTCATTGTCATTCCAGGCTACAAAGCATTTTTTTAAAAAGTGACAGGGGTCTCTTCTTTCTAAACTCTCTTTAGGTACCTATGATGACTTGTATTATTGCCAGTTTTTTAATATCAAGCCTACACAGAGATGTACATAAATCTGAAAAACTAAGCTCAAAAGCCTTCTGTAAGGTCTTGTTGCTGCACCTGAGTCTCTGCCCTTTCCCTAAAAATTGCTCTAAAAAGAAGTGTTATGCTCTGTTTAACTACATGGAACCTAATTGTGTGCAGTGGACTCACAGACAGATTTCAACCAGTGCTTTTTACCTGAAAAACATAAAGGTTCAAGATATTGCTTTGATATTTGTTTTATTTTATCTCTCCGGGACTCTCTCTTGAGCTGTACTATCTACATATTCCCGGATGATCATATTATCTGATTCCATGGTTGTAAATCTGGTTCATTTTGCATAAGATGATTTCCCCCTTTCTCAGCTCCATCTCCTCCCTGAACTCTAACTTTTGTATTGTTGTGATATCTCCATAGATGACAATAGCATTTCAAAATTAACCTGGCCCAAATAGAACTCCTGGCTTTTCCCTGGCCCCAACCCTAAACCTTTCATATACAACCAACCCCCATGCTCTCCGGCCTCAATAATAATGAAGAATTACCTTCATTTCTTCTTTGCTATTCTCTCTTTCCCCTTCTAATATCCAATTCATCCTGTGGACTGCACCACCAAGTTCTTCTAAGTTGATCTTTCTTCACCATTACTCCTGGCCTTGCTTCCTAATCCACTGTCTGTCTACACTGTATGACATCATGACATTATCACCCACCCTGTTGCATTTGGTCCCCAGTGTCTAACTGGTCACTGTTTGCATGGCAACCAGTCCTAGCCCCTGCTGTATGGCAAATGAAAAGTCAGCCTTGTGGCTTCAGAAATTCTAAAGTTACATAATTTTTTTATAAGTTTGTGAGGCTGTATGATGAATACCGTTACTCTGTTCTCTCTCTCTCTCTCTCTCTCTCTCTCTCTCTCTCTCTCTCTCTCTCTCTTTCTCCCCTTCTGAGCTGCACTACATATGTCAAAGGCATATTATCCCTTTCTGTCTTTTAATCGCCCCAAGTTTTTGTTCACCCCATGATCTCTTCCTTCACTCATCCATCCTAGACTCATCCATTACTCAGTCTAGAATCCTCTTCCTTAATATCTGCATAATTAATCAATTCTGATCATCTTGAGTTCTAATTTTACCTTGTCAGGAGGAGCTCCCCAGAGGTTTGACCTGAGTAAATTTCTGTCTTAGGGTTACTATTGCTGTGATATAACCCCATGACCAAAGCAACTTGGAGAGGAAAAGGTTTATTCTGTTTATCACAGTTCTTCACCAAAGGAAGTCAAGGCAGGAATTCAAGCAGGGCAGGAACCCTGAGTCAGGATCTGACACAGATGCCATGGAGGGCTGCTGCTTACTGACTTGCTCCCCATCTCTTGCTCAATCTGCTTTCTTATAACGCCCAGGACCACCAGCTTAGAGATAGAACCACCCATTATGGGGTGTGTCCTCCACCATAATCACTGATTAAGCGAATGCCTTACAGCTGGCTCTTATGGAGGTATTTTTGAAATTGAGGTTCCCTCATTTTGGATAACTCTAGCTTGAGTCAAGTTGACATAAGACTAGCCAGTGCACTGTCCTATCACTCTCCCTCAGATGTGACCTCCATTTAATTCTGATTCATTGCCCAAATGGCTTATGCACATTCTGTCTTGCATGAGAAAAGGAGCCTTTAGCAACTCATTCATGTCCAGCCTCAGTGTCGGGGATAATAGAAACTCAACAGTTCATGAATGGATGAATGAGAACAAAGAACTGTGATTCCAATAATTTTCCTTCTAGACAGCCCTTAAGAGATAAATTTATTGTTTTAACATTTTAGCTTGCAAGAAAATATGATTTCCTCATAATAGAAGATGATCCTTACTATTTTCTCCAGTTCGATAAGGTACGTGGTCATGTGGGCTTATGTCACTGTCGAAAGATAATTTGTAGTAATTTATTAGCTGCATTGGAAGTGAACCTGGCTTGAGTCAATGAACTTGAATAAATAGTGTATTCTCTATACTTTTTCAATCTTGCAGTTTTTCCAGTTTTCTTCTTTATATTAATGTTCTTTCTAGAAATTAGTTACCTTTGGAATAGTAGCTTGATGTCTGAAACATGCTTTCAGATGAGCAGAGCCCATCAGGTGGTGCTGAACTCTGAATCCTATTTCGTATTACCTCAGACATCAAATGAGGGACATGATATTGGACTCATCTTATATTTCAGCTTCAGTGTGGTAATGGTAGCTGACTGGGATGATAGCTAAGGGGAGATGAGATGGTATGCAAGCTGAAGGGGAAGTAGGGCTGTGCTCAGTAAATGCTGTCCACTGATGGAGAAGGGCACTACAGCCACATAACTGTGCCCTTGTCACGTGCTCTGACCCTCATCTGGAGGATCAAGGGTTTTGTTTTGTTTTTGTTTTTGTTTTTAAGTCATCCTCACTATAAGTGTATGCTACATTTCATGGTAACAGTTTTCTAGCAGGCAGTAGTAGTGGTACACGCTGCCAGTAAGTAACCAGTACATGCCTTCAGGACTACAGACATCCAGTCCTATAACTGGATTCTGTTCCTACCTTTATATATACTGAAAAGACACAAACTTCTCTGCTGCATAGTTTTGCAGAGCATGATTTGCCCTGCCTTCCGTCAGTGTGACTGTGGACTCCTTTCTCACTTAGTCCTAGTTTTTTTTTAATTAAAAACAAGATTCTATTACATGTCAATCCCAGTTCCCTCTCCCTGCCCCCCACCAACCCCCTATCCTATCCATCCCCTTTCTGCTCCCCAGGGAGGATGAGGCCTTCCATGGAGGATCTTCAAAGTCTGTCATATCATTTGGGGCAGGGCCTAGACCCTTGCCAGTGTGTCTAGGCTGAGAGAGTATCCCTCTATGTGGAATGGGTTCCCAAAGTCCATTTGTGAACTAGGGATAAATACTGATCCACTACCAGAGGCCCCATAGATTGCCCAGACCTCTAAACTGACATCCTCATTCAGGGTTTCTGGAACAGTCCTATACTGGTTTCCCAGCTATCAACTTAGTCCTATTTTTGAAGACAATCTTAGTGTCTGTAGGGAAAATTTAGCTCAGGACCCCCAAGACCAAGTTCACAGCACAAAGGAGATTTATTTGCCAAGCAGGACAAAAGACAGGGAGTAAGGAGACAAAGATAGGAGATAGAAGGGAAGGGGAAGGGAATGAGGGAGAGGAATAAGGGGTGTTTTTCCTGGTGGTTGGGCAAGACAAAGAATTGCCTCTGGATAGAGAGGAGAAAGATATGACCCATAGGCAAATAATGGTTTATAAAGGTAAAGAGGGAGACTCCCTATTAGAATGAAGTGTTCGATTTTAATTGGACACATTAATTAGGTGAGTCAAAGGGGGCTTTTAATTGTTGGGCTTCAATTCTTTTGATAGCTGTACCTTGGTAGTCAGCCTCAGCAGGAGGGATTGGTCAAATAAGGGAATAGACCTTGGGGACTAGCTTTAGGAACATAATCTAATGGCTTTTAGCAAGGCCTAGGGAATGGGGGAGAAGGACAAGGCCTACCAGAGCCATGTTTTCCATGCTCAGGATGACTAGAGACCCTTCAGTGTCAGTATGCAACATTAACTGTTGTTTGCCAACCAATAGTGGTTTTCTTTCTCTTTAAGCCCTGGGTACCAACATTTCTCTCCATGGATGTTGATGGCCGTGTGATCAGAGCTGACACCTTCTCAAAGATCCTGTCCTCTGGGTAAGGCTTTCATCTATAACGTGAAGCCAGCCTCAAATCTTTTAGTTCAAGATCTTCTTCTTATTTAGAAGGCTTGTATTCAACTTGCATGAAAATACACTTGATCATTAATAGACATATATGTATTTTTACTTCAGTATTATTCTTACAATGGGTACTATAATTTCTAGTGTTCAAAGATGCTTGGATAGGAGTCTAAGTTGTAGGAGTATGGTCAGCATTCTGGAAACTGGTATTAGAATACCATGGTTAGAAATTCTTAGTAATATTTGCATTATTTTATCATCTATAGTAAATTTAGGTGTTTTTTTAAATAAGAAGTAAGTACTTTGGTTAGAATATTTAAGTCATCAAGATCTATTTGTCCCCAGGTCATCACTTTTCTCCTAATGAAATTAGCAAAATAATTCACATTACTTGTTGATGTGGGGTTGGTAGAAGCCCTTTTCTCTTTCTCTGTAGGTTGAGAGTAGGGTTTATGACGGGCCCCAAGTCCTTGATAGAGAGGATTGTTTTACACACACAAGTCTCATCAATGCATTCCTGCACTCTCTCACAGGTAAGTGCAATTCATCATTGGGTTTTGTTTATCTTTAATCAGAATCAGCTGTAGGCAAGGAACAGTAACTTAAGTTGACAGGGAAGAAAAATCAAATGCTGAATCTCCATTTCCAAGACAGAATTGGCAGATCAGCATCTGCAGAGGTCGAATCTAAGCAGCCAATGAGAAATCATTTAAGCTAGTATAGTCATTCTGCCTGCTCAGAATCCTCATGAATCTGGGCATACTCATCTGTGTCTCTGGGAGAACACTAAAAGTGAGTCAATTAACAAACATTAAAAAAAAAAACCTATGGAGCACTAAACAAAATAGAACCGAATTTGATGAAGTAATTCAAACATTGGCTTCATTGTGTTGGGATTCATAATGATGTGAAGAAAGCAGCCTGGTTAGTGTCTTCCTCTCAAGCTTTGAAAAGATACTGGATTTGGAAACTGTTATAGCCTAGAGGATTAGATTTTGTGGGCATGTTTGCATTTGTTCATGTCTATGTACATGTGTGGATGCGGGTGAGTATACATGTGTGCATCCCTGTGTACAAATCAGGCCCACATGCTTTATTAACTGAGCCTGCTGGGCACTGTTGTTGTCCTGGTTAACAATGGAAGTCTACTGAAGTCACTGATCTGATCTAGGCTCCGTGTTGCATCTTTCTGTGTGTTTTCATGGAAGCAGAGTGGTTGCCTTCTGTGATTCATGCAACCTTGCTTTTGAGAATGAACTACGATATCACGTGAGACTGTTCTCTCTCTTTCAGCTCATGATATCACAGCTTCTATACCAATGGGGAGAAGACGGCTTCCTGGCTCACATAGACAGGTTGGCTGCTAAAATATTTGTGAGCAAAATAGGAGCCCAGAACACAAAGTACAAACCATCCTGAGTACTGATTTATTATCCTTCCTTCTCTTTCAAAGACTTATTTTTAGTCTGTGTGCATGAATGTTTGCTTGTGTATATGTTTGCACACCACAGGCCTGGTGCTTGGGAGACCAGAGGAGGACATTGGCTCCCCAAGAACAGAGTTACAGGCTGTTGTGAACTAGTTAGGAGATGCTGTGTATGGCTGGAAACCCTACCAGGTCCTCTGCAAGAGTAGCAACTGTTCTTAGCCACGGAGACATCTCTCCATCCTCTTTATTCTTTCTTCTTCAATGTTCACAGTCACACCAACACAACAGTCTTTTTGTTGTAACATGAAGTCTTCTCAGTGGCATTTAAGGTCTGGCCAAAACTATTGTCCACCCATACCACAGTGGTCCAGGTTAGGGTTCATGGTTTTAGCTGAAAAAGTATCCACACATATAAACAAACTTATCTGATAATCAACTAAGGACACGGGGACATGGGAACTGGTTCAAGTAAGAATGAGTGAAAGCACACACTTTGCCTGGTCAGTATAATGAGGCAGTCATGAATTGTTTTTGTCATGTAAATATGTGCTCTCCTGAGCCACTTAGGAGCAAGCAGAAACAGAGTCCCCTCTTTCCCAGACCAGTGACTTAGCATCTCAATTCAGTTTCCTTTCAATTCAAGTGTTATCTGTCATTGAAAATGACATTACTTCAGTCAACCAAACACAAAGGTCTATCCTGTTACTTTATACATCTAAATTCTGTATCTTATATAGAAATGGACTTCTATTTGTTTTTATACTTTAACTTCTCTATAAAAAGGGGGAAAGATTTTTTAAATTTTTTTCAGCACACATGTCAAAGTAATAAGTGTTCTTATGAAGCAGAAAACAAATTCTTACAGGTTACAGTCAGAGCTTTTCTTGTGTCTGGTTTGAACCTCAATATCATTGTCTTTGTCTTCTAGAGTTATTGATTTCTACAGGGACCAGAAGAATGCGGTATTGGAGGCAGCAGACAAATGGTTAAGTGGTGAGTGAGGAGCATCTGTTGTTAATATAAGTATAAACAGTAGCATCTCTAGAGAGGATGTGGACATGTGATCAGCTTGATGTGGGAGAGACAGTAGTATAGGTGCTTTCTTGAGAAGGAAATGTTTCCCTACAGATAATTGTACAAGTACTACATTGTCAATCCTTGAAAACAGCTTGGTATTGGCACAAAAATAGACAGGTTGACCAATGGAATAGAATTGAAAACCCGATATTAACCCACACACCTATTAATACCTGAAGCTAAAGTTATACAATGGGAAAAAGAAAGCATCTTCAACAAATGGTGTTGACATAACTGGATTTGGACATGTAGAAGATTGCAGATAGATCCCTATCTATCGCCATGCACAAAACTTAAATCCCAATGGATCAAAGACCTCAACATAAATTCAGCCACACTGAAACTCCTAGAAGAGAAGGTAGGTGGTCCTCAAACAAATTGGTACAGGAGACCTCTTTCTGAACATAACACCAATAGCACAAACATTGAGATCAACAATTAATAGTTGTGACCTCCTGAAACTGAGAAACTTCTGTAAAGCAAAGGACACAGTCAGCAAGACAAAACGGCAGCCCACAGATGGGAAAAGATATTCACCATCCCCACATCTGACAAAGGACTGATCACCAAAATATACAATGAACTCAAGAAGCTAGCCACCAAAACACCAAACAATGCAATTAAAAAGTGGAGTGCAGAACTAAATAGAGAATTCTCAACAGAGGAATCTAAAATGGCTGCAAGACACTTGAGAAAGTGCTCAAAATCCTTAGCCATCAGGAAAATGCAACTCAAAACCACTCTGAGATACCATCTTGCTCCTGTCAGAATGGCTAAAATTAAAACACCAATGACAGTCTATGCTGGAAAGGATGTGGAGAAAGGAGAACACTTTCCATTGCTGGTGGGAGTGCAAACTTGTACAACCACTTTGGAAATCAATATCATGGTCCCTCAGGAAAATGGGAATCAACCTACTGCCAGATCCAGCAATTCCTCTCTTGGGCACAAAGAATGCACACTCATACAATAAGGACATCTGTTCAACTATATTCATAGCAGCATTATTTG